CTTGTAATCTACCTATTACAAGCCACTTTGCAAACTCCCTTTTGCAAAGACTTCAAACTAACTTGTGATGCACCACCACAAGCCACTCCCTAACTCTCCTAGTTACAGAGGATTCAACTTATGACTACTCCTAGTCACAACGCAAACTCAAAAGTTTACGGATTTGGTTTGTTCCTAAAATCGTGCTTCTAAGAAAGCGAAGTAGGAATAACAATGTAAAGCAAATAACAAGATTACAACTCAACTATGGATATACATAAGACTTTGTTTAAAAACTAATCCTTAGTGGAGTTGTCTTCTTGTTCTTGACACACCGGTGATTTCAATACTGGATGGATGTTTCTTCTTCTTTAGAGAGTATCACTGAAATGCACAAGTTGGTGTGTCATGCACCGGGTTATTTTATCACAAAGCATATCACAATAGATAGTGGTGTCAACTCTTGGTGTACTTCTTGTCAGTGGGAAGTGACTGCTGCACTGTCTGCACAGCCACTTCTGGACAGGTGCGTTCCAGCTGGACGTTGTGCTTCTGTCGGGACATACCAATGAACTAGGTCTAATACTTCTGTCAGGACATACCAACGAACCATGTCCTAGTTATGTTCCTCTTCTGTAACAGTTGCTTGATGGCTTTCTTCTACTACATTCCAGCTGTGCACTTTGAGCTGTACTTTTGTCAGAGAACCCCAAGGGAGCAAATCCCTGTTGTATTTCTCTTTATCTTGAATGTGTACAGTCACTGACTTGTCCTTTTGTCGGAGAACCCTAATGGACGAGGTCATCGGGTCCCGGTTGTGTTCCTCCATGTGGTCGTCCATCCAATTGTTGATGTTCAAGCTTCGATCAGTTCAAATGGGATGTGTATGAAGCAGAGAAGGTTCTCCATCTGGTTCTTTACAACAAGTTTGTTAAATCATCAAAACCCAAGAAGCATAAGGTTAAGTAAAACCCATCAATTTCCCCATTTTTTATGATGACAAACTTAGTTATGGACAACATTTGTGTAGAACAAAAATAACCCAGTAGTGATGAAGTTCCCCCTTAATCTAAGATATCCATCATTCTCACAACTTCATCACACTGAAGTTTACATGAGATAAGGTCTAAGTTCCCCCTTAATGTAAGCGTTCTTCCCCCTTTTGGCATCATTAAAAAGATAGAGAAAAGAGAAGCACCAGCAGATAATAAGCATAAAGAAGTCTAACACAGCTAGCTCATGCTACATATGTGCACACAACATAACAGAAAAGAGAAGCCAAAGGAACATAGTATTGTACATGCAGGCAAAGGGGAGTTGTTTCATTAATGTTTACGTTGGACTGACCAAGTCAGGAGGAGTAATGGGTAATTTCCACATGCCATCACAACAACAAAAAAACAAATAAACACCAGTAAAACATCACCCATAGAAGGTTGGAACAAAAATAGTTAGACACTGGGGGAGGATCCTAGGGAGCACTAAGGGACGGAGGGTTCGATGGAGAGACATCAATTGTTTTGAGAACCAAGTCCAGTCTAGCGTTTGCAGCCAGTTGTTCTTCAAGTAGTTGAGCCCGGAGTCTCTCATTTTCCTTTCTCAGTTGAGCAACCTCCTTATGTAAAGAATCAGGTCCCTGACCTGCTTGGCTAAGCTGAGTTTCTAGAATGGCATTTCGAGCCCCCAGTCATTGTATCTCCTCAGATGCTACATTTTGGGCGTTTATCAGCCGAGAGATGGTCGAAATGCTTCCACCAACCTTTTCTATGCACTCACATTCTTCTAAAGTGGTTTTTGAGAAGGTTTGCTTGCGTGTGCCTACTCTAGAGTTTCCCAAGGGAACCTTATAGAATCTGAACACTTGAGTGAGGAGAAAGCCATAAGCTAATCCATGATTGCCACCCTTAAAATTTGCCACTTTTTGCATGTGATCTGTCATGACTGCTGGCAAGTTGATTGGCACAAACTCATCAAGCGCTTCCATCAGGCCCAAGTCTGATTTTGTAGCAATGGAACGTCTCTCAGAGCTGGGTAGAAGCACTTTATTGACCAGTTCAAAGAGAAGCTGGTACTCAGGAAGCATACCTTCTTATGAACCTGTTCCCCCTATTGAATGGCTTGCTCTTTCATAATGGCTCCCCAAAAGTTTACTCCACAGACACCCTTAACTGAGTTCATACCTTCAGACAGGACTTTGAGAACCTTCCCCAATGTTGGAGCATCTAGTACAATGTCAACTCCATTTACGAGAGCACAGATGTGGTCCCCCTCAACAGTGAAAAGAGAGGCGTAGAAGGCTTGTACAGCATCTTCGTACACTAGAGGCATTCTTTCTTCAAACAAGTGTTCCCATTGTTGGAACTCCACAATTTCCAGAATTTGACGCATTCCTGTCATTTCCGAAATAGCTCGATCAAATGTGCGTCCCCACAACACTTTCTGAGTTCTAAGTCTCTGTTGCCAAATACCCCCATCATTTGCCATGCACCTTATTGGACCAGGTTCCTTTACCGTTTCCACTTTTTGATTGCTGCAACCTTCATCAGAATTTTCTTTCCAGCTTGCTATTCTCACATTATTGTCTTCAGATGCAGCCAGCTCAATTTTACTACACTTCGACTTGCTCCTATACGTCACAGATGGCCCTTTCTGTTTCTCAACAATTTCAGCGAGTCCCCTTTCCATGGATTGTTGCTCTAGGGAACCAGGTTCCTTGGAAGCATCTGCGTCTGCTTGGTTTACTGACCCACTTTTGATAAAATCCTTTGGATTCATTTTTCTCCTTTTCTTGGCTTGACACTCTTTTTGCTTTTCTGAAGTGAAAATTCGAAGCTTTCTTGATGTAGAGGCCTAATTGTGAGAGATTTTGAGGAAGATCCCATGATCTTGGAATGAATGAGGGGTACAGAAGTGGGTTTGCTTGGAGGAGGAACGGGTTCACCTGAAGATTTTTCTGAGAACATTTCACGAGTCAGGGACTCCAAGAGTTCCGCAGTTCTTGCATTTTCTAAAACTGAGATATCTTCCCTCTAACACTCAGACGAGAAATAAACTTTCTCATTCGTCAGACTTTCAGCAACTATGGCCAATATGTTGTGAGCTGCTTCTTCTTCAGGTAACTCCTTGAGAGTCACAGTGTCCAACATAGAGGAGTTTATATGGTCAAGGTCATCCTCATGGGCTTCTGAAACCAGAGAAGTGAGACCTTCTGTATGTTCTTTTAAAAAGTCATGGGATTGACTGGACAAAGAGTTCTCAAAATAATGGTAGGCAGGGTTTAGCAGAAAAGGGGAGATAGTAGGAGTGGAGAAGAGATCAGAAGTGTGTAGAGTATTAGAGTGCGGGAGACAGTAATGATCAGAACTTGGTTTCAATGAAGGCAATGAAATAGGGACTGTGTTTGAGGTGGTAGACTGAGACGATTGTTCGATTGTCATTTCAAAAATACCTTCCAGACAGGTAGCTTGGAGATGGTAATAGATGAAGAGTGAATTCTAGCTGTACAACGAGGAAGAAGGTTTATGACTTGTCTTAGGAGGGAAGATTTATTTGAGAAGAAGCTAATGATGAGTGAAGACAGAAACAGGTTCTGAATAGTCCTAGAGACGGTGGCAGGTTTGTGGGAAAGAGGTGAAAGGATTTGATGGACAAGACATGACGGACAGACCTTGAAAAGTTTGATGATGTGGCAGCTGAATTACAGGGCAATTATTACATTTTTTTTTGTTTTGAGAGTGCATGCAAAAATTAAGCTTATTACCACTAGCCTGAGTGACGAGAACCTGATGATAGATCAGTCCTTTTGAACAGGATTTCACAGCTCCTCCCTTTTTGCAGTTGATAACTCCACCTTTAGCTTCTATGATCGTTATGCGTGTTTACCTATAACAGTATCGATGTGAGTTAGGCTTGGTTAGAAAACACTTTAGCTGCCCTTACCTGATGGTCTCTTACACAACCAGCAAATTGATGATCAGGTTCTTCATTGGGTTCCTGTAACTCCATCTTCTCTTTGATTTCTCTGGAATGTTCACTTCTTGAAGCTTTGTTTCCAAGGTCTGGAATTTGGTGTGCTTTCCATAGAACAGTATTCCCTCCTTCATACTGATCCTCAATGGAAGATCTCTCCGTTCCAGTTGTTGGTGTGGTCATTTCATTTTACTTTCTTGTCTCCCAGAAGAAGAGGCATGAATCATCGCAGGTACACTTTGGTATTCCAATTTGAGGCAGAAGTTGGTTGAGAAGAGAAATATGGTGGTTTACTTGACTTCCCATGCTATGTGTTCTGCTGTTTGCGTAGTGCCTAGAGCTACATCTTCGCTTCTTCCTTCAGCTTCATAGATAGTCAGTAATAGACTGGGTTCTTTATGTTGGTGCGATGTCTCTCGCCAGTCTTTTACACCTTGATCACTTTATCATCTTCTTGATTTTAAAACCTCGAGCATTTCCCCGAAACACGATTTGTCCATCACATTAATCTTCACAGTTTCTTTCTTGACAGAGAGAGAGAGAGAGTGCCCTTGTTTTGTGGATTGTTTCTCAGGAGAATTCCTTCTCTCATCTGTTTACATTGTGCTTCCCAAGCTGATTCTTCCTGTTTTCTGGAGTAAGGCACTTTCCTCCAATTGGTGGTTCCTGGCGAGTTTTGCTTTGAGGAAGGACCTGGTTCAGCACCTGTTCTTCGGTAGGAATTCAAGTTCCAAGGGAACACTTCTGCTTTTTCATTTACTGAGAATGCACCCTTTACTTTCTTCTCAAGGATACATTCTCTTCCTGCAGGGCTTTCAGTGAGAAGCATTTCATGAAGTTTTCGACTGCGTGCTTTTAGGCATTTTACTGTCCATAGTCCATCATGTTCTGCTTCCTTTCACTGCTCCATGCACATACACATCAAGGGTTAGATTTAGGAACCCAAACTAGTTTGGGTCCCTCGTTACTATAAAAAGGGTGAATGAGAGGTTTTCTAGTCCATGCAGGCAGCATCCGCTTTTTCCGAGTGGTACCTGGTCCTGTGCTAGTAGTCACTCTATTCGTGAAGGTTTGTTCTTCTGAACTGACTTAAACCTGGCCTGGCAGTTTTCTTTAAAATGCCCATTGTTTCCATAGTGGTTACACAGCCAGTTGTCAGGTATAGTCACATACTTGTTGTGTGGGTTGTAGGGAGTTTTCTCCCTTTTAAATCCAATGCCCTGCTTGTTCCCACCATTGTTGAGATACATAGCAGTAACAGCATCTGAGGACCAGGTCCACTTTAAGGATTTTTCAAGATCAGTTCTCACTTTCTCCAACTCAATTTGGAGTTGGTGATTCCTCTCGAGTTCTTTGCAAAGACTAGTTTTTACGACATTCAACTCCTTTTCCAGCAAGATGTGCAACTCACTAGCTACTCCCTTCCCTTTCTCAAGATTTACACTCCTATGTTCTCTATTAGGTCCCTCGCTGGTTTCCTCTAGATTAGCACATATCACAAGAAGGTCATCCGTTTCCTCTTCAATAGAGGCGGTCTTTTCTTCTAATGAGTGTTTCTTACTGCTAAGATCTTCTATTATTTCCTTCAGATCGACAACTACCACCATCAGATCGTCTCTTTCATTCTCCACTCTGGTTATTTTTTCATTCAGAGCCTCCTTCTCTAGTTCAAGATTGGCTATGGTCTCATCTCGGTCTACTACACATACCACTAGATCATCTCTAGATTGCTCTGCCTCTCCTAGTTCTATTGTGAGGGTCTCCTTATTGTTTACAAGACTATAATAGGCATCAATTAAGACATTTGATAAAGACCTTAACTTCTTGGAAGAATAGGATTTCAGATTTCTCTGAACATCCCGAAGGCTTACCTCATTATCTTCATCTTCTTCATCATCTTCATCATCTGACTGAGCCATCAGCGCGAACAGTGAGTCGTACTTTGTTGCTTTGGTTTCCACTGCCAGCAGGGAACTGTTTTCTACATATGATTCCCTTTCGGATTCACTTGAGGAGTCTCCCAAGCAGCAAGGACCTGCTTAACAATATTGTCTGCAGCACTTTTTCGATTGAATCTTTTCTCGGGAACCAGGTTCCTTTTTCCTGCCTTGTCAGGATTCTGCTTGTACTGCTCCTGTTTTGCAAGTGGCAGTCTTTGACGAAATGCCCTGACTTTCCACATCCGTGGCAAAAATCATTGTTCCTAGTTTTGCTTGAGCTGCCCCACTTTGGTATACCACTGTTTCTTCGAGTCATTTTTTGAAATCTTTTAGTAAGATAGGCCATGTCACTATCTTCATCACTGGAATCACTCCTTTCAGCTTTAAGCACCAGGTTCTTTTCTTTCTTAGGCTCTCTTCGTTCATTGTCCTCCTTTCTCTTCATCTCGTACGTTTTCAGATTACCAATCAGCTCACCCATGGTCAGAGTCTGTAGATCTTTAGCTTCCGTGATGGCATTCACCTTACTCTCCCAAGATCCAGGTAGAACACTGAGAATTTTTTTGACGAGCTTGTTTCTGGGAATGACATCTCCAAGCGAGTGTTGCTCATTTATGATGGAGGTGAATCTGGTATGCATATCTTGTATAGATTCATCATCCTTCATCCTGAAGAGCTCATACTCTGTGGTGAGCATGTAAATTTCAGATTGCTTGACTTGGGTGGTTCCTTCATGTGCGGTTTGCAACGCCTCCCATATTTCTTTGGCAGTTTCACAAGCTGAGACTCTGTTGTACTCATCAGGTCCTATACCACACATCAAGATTTTCTTGGCACGGTGGTTCTTTTCTA